TCCTGCTGGCTGGGAAGGCGCGCCGGAGTCCCGGCTGCCAGGAAGGCGATCAGCTCGCTCTTCTCCCATTGCCCGCTCTGCCCAGCTCGAGCCTGGCTGGAGCAGTGTTGGTACTCCCAAAGGTGGCCACTTCAAGGTCACACAGGTAGCCCTTGGCCACTCCCCTCCCCACCTCCAAATCGATCCCTGATCGGAGAGAGAGAGAGGGAGGGAGGGAGGAAGAAAGAGAGAGGGGGAGAGAAAAAGAGAGAGGGAAAAATGGAGAAAGAGACGGAGAAAGAGAGAGAGGGAGGGAGAGAAATAGAGAGGAAGAGAGAAAGGGAGACAGAAAGAGGAAGAAAAATAGAAAGAGGGAGAAAGAAAGGAAGGGAGAGAGAGGGAGAGAGAAAGGGAGAGAGGGAGAGAGAAATAGAGAGGAAGAGAGAAAGGGAGAGAGGGAAAGGGAGAAAGAAGGAGGGGGAAGGGAGAGAGGGAGAGGAAAGAGGAAGAGGGAGAAATAGAGAGAGAAAGAGAGGGAGAAAGAAATAAAGAGGAAGAGAGAGAAAGGGAGAGAGGGGGGAGAAAGAAAGAGGGAGAGATTAAATTAATAACATGGTTCTTAAGTGAATCTGGTTTCCCCACTAACTTTGCTAGTCAGAAGATTGCAAAAGGTGATAACATGACCCTGGAACAATGTGACCATCATAAATATGAATCGGTTACCAAGCATCTGAATGTAAATCACATGACCCTGGGGATGCTGCAACAGTCATAAGTGTGAAAAATGGTCATAAGTCACTTTTTTCAGTGCTGTTGTAACTTTGAACAGTCACTAAGCAAACTGTTGTAAGTCAAGGACTAATTTTATGTGTTGGGGGTCACCACAACATGAGGAACTGTATTAAAGGGTCGCGGCATTAGAAAGGTTGAGAATCACTGCTTTAAGGGAACCCAGTGGGAAAAAGACAGCCAGAAATTAGATTTTAAAAGGGAAACAGAGAGTTTTGCCTTTAGAAAAACGTGACTAAAGGGGAAAATAAAATTGCAATTTACAGTCCCATAGAATAAAGCCACACCATATTCGCCAAATGCAAGGGGGAATATTAATCTGATTAATCAGAAAGCATTCAGAAAGTGGAAATAATGATCTTTAATTACAGGAAAAGAAGATACCGGTTGGGAAAAATAACACTTCAACAGTGGTTAAGAGAACTTAGTTATGTCAAGAGGTTCTACATGACTCTTGGTTGGGGGGTGCTCAAGCAGAGGGTACATCCCAATTTGGTTGTGATATTTTGAAAGGGGTTAACAGAGCAGAGATTAAACAAAGCATGAATATTTGCTTTGATTCTCCATTTCAAAGCAACTGACCTACCTGGCATTTTCTGGCCTAATGTGAATATTGAAGCAGTATTTGTCCTCGGAGCCCATGCTTCTCCAAATTTTGTAGAACTGCTTTAAAACTCAATGTACCTACCAAGATGCATTTTAAAATGTGAATTTCAGGATGATTAGAAATCACAATTTTGTGACACGTCTTTGGGAAAATCTATGGATATTTTTGTGCCCATTAAAGCAGATAGGGAAATAGGCCTGTGATTAAGTCCATAGCATGAAGATAAGATTACAGCACAAATGTGGGAGGAGAAAAAAATGGATATTGACCCCCCCAAACCTTTATGCCTCTGCATTTTTTCAACTTCTTGCTCTGATCAGCCTTTCATACTCCCTGCATTGTCAGCTTCGAACATAAACTAAAAAAAATGACTATACAGTGAAGTTAACCCCTAAGAATCCTATTTCTTGAACTCTCCCCGATTCTGGGGTTGCAACTTTTTGATGTGGAGCAAGTTGGGGTAGTGTTCAAATTACAACAATTGGGACCAGAATTTCTGTTGCTAAGCAAGGTGGTGGCAAAGTGAGGCATTCCTTACGACCTTTCTCGCGATGGCTGTTAAGTGCATCATTGCAGTTGCTAAGTGAATCACATATTTGTTAAGCGAATTCAGCTTCCCCAAATTGACTACTACTTGGAAGACAGCAGGGTAGGTGAACACATGACCTAAGGATGTTGCAACCATCCTAAATACATGCCAATTGCCAAGTACCCAAATTCTGACCATGTAATTGGAAGGGTGATGCGACGGTCATTAGGTTAAGGACATAACATTTTTCGGTGCTGTTGTAACTTTGAAGTTGAAAAAAAATGAATGGTTGTAAGTCGAGGACTATATGTTAAGTTTCCATTACCTCAAGTTTTTCTAGTGTAGTGAAGAATAGTCAAAAATTACATTTCTGACAAGAATGCTGGTTGAATCTGTCAGTCATTCTCTTGTCGGTCCAATCTTCCTAACAGGTAGATTGTTCCATGTACCCTACTTGGAACTCTTTAATGGAAAGTGGGATAGATCTCTATTCAACATGTTCACTTCTAGGACCCCTCAGATCACAGAAATCCCAAAGCCAGAGATTCTCTCAAAATTCATATGAACTTTAAAAGGTCCCAGCACCTGGGACACTGAGACACAGATGTCAAAAAAGCCTGTATGCATTTCCAATACAATGATTTTATTATGTGCTGTAAAAATAAAAAAAATCAGTATTCAGCTTTGTATTTTATTTTCCCCTCTGTGTGTAAGAATCGGTCCTCACCACCATTTTTTTCAAAAGAGAAAAAGGCCAAAATGGTATTTTAAACAGTATAATTTTGGCAGCATGAAAAAAACTGTTTTTTTAAAATTCTTTTGTAAATAACTTAATGGCTCAAAGTATCTTTTTATTTGTCATTGTACAAGTATTACAAAAACACGTTATGAATAAATTAAATCATATTCAAATAGGCTTTTGAGGGGAGGTGTTTTACAAAGTTCCACCTACCCCTGCAGAAATATTTGCCTGGAGCTTTATAAACTGCTATGATGGCAATAAAGCAGATAACATATCTTTAAAATTAAAAAACAAAACTATGCTCGTTTAAACAGTCTCAGAATGAAGCAGCAAAGCAGAACCTCACAGTACTTTCCCTCTTTTGGATAGTCATTAAATCTCTGTTCCAAATTCTAGAAAGTTCCAGAATATATATTTTATTATATTTATATACACACACTTGTGTAATGTACACAATACATCTTTGTATCCAACTCTGATTTTCAAAAATATTATATTGAGCAGATTATCATATAAAGAACCGAGATCCCTCTTTTAATAATTTCCCTCCAAAAATATTTGTCCCCCCCTCTGCAAGATTCCCCCCCCCAAAGATTAAAGAGAGAACAGTCAACTTACAGCCCTTCCATTTCACACAGTTCCTTATTTAAGGGAATTTAGATTGGATGTGTTTTGTGGTCTGCAACCAACCTCCATTAAGAGCTTTCAAAGAAATTAAGAAACAGACCCAATTACTATTTTTGTCATAAACTGGATTCCCTTGTAATGTTGCTATGATGTTTTCTCAGTGATAGCCCAGTCCTACAATGGTAAGGGATTTAGGATTGTCAGAAGTTGCAAGTGCCGATTAAAATGGGATAATGTGAAGAAACAGAAGGACTAGAGCACACAAGACTGAAGTCCAGTCCTGTACAGGATACAAATACTACAGTTCCCTTTCCGCCTTGCCAATGCCTCATAAACTGATCAGCATTGTTTCACAGGAAATGGCACCTCATGACAATACACAAATTGCCTGCTGAAAATCCCCCCCCCCCCCCCGTAAGTCACATCTTTTTCACAACTACAAAAATTTAAGAGCAGGGTGTAAAGTCTTCACACTCCTATAACAGGAGTATTTGACTTCAGTTTGGGGCCAGATTCCACTGGCATTTGGGAAAGTCCACAGAAGCTAAAATGTTTGCATTTCAATCTAATACAAGAACTGCAGCAGAAGAATATTAATTTGAATGCCTGAGTAATATGCCTAGAACCAGGTTCATCCACTCCCATCTGCTCCGTTACTGTGTTTAGCATCTCGGCTTTTAAAATCATCTCCTACCCGTGGCCTCTGTTCAGGATGGACAGTACGCTAAATCTGTTTACAAACAAGCAGAGGATGGAGTGCTCCTAATCTTATCTTCAGCCAGCCTTATCTTAAGTGTTTGGCAAATAATCCTCCCATCTTTGCCCACAAGAATGGTCAAGAGTGAAAAACTGCAAAGAGACTGTTTTTTTTAATCTTGGGCGATTTAACTCGAAGGAAAAGATCAGGAGGAAAAGTGGCGACCTCAGGCAGGGCGCCATTTCTATCTGGGGGCGACCAAAACATTTTGAATAAAAAAATATGTTGCTTCATCCATGCTGGGAAATAGTCCTGCCACAAGCTCAAGACATCTGTCTAAAACCTGAATTGAAATATGTTCTGAATTCAAAAGAACTACCAGGATGGTCCATTTCACAAAATATTTTCAAGCATATCTTTCAAATTCCAGCAGATGTAGAAGAAGAAAATCACAACGACAAAATTAGAAAGGGGAGGAGGCAGATGCAGAATTGTGCTTTTTAATCCTCTGCCTGAACTCTTTGTTTTTGGTTTTTTTGGGCTGGCAAATTGGATATATTCTTCAGAAAAGAAGCATCCTCTCTAATATGAGCTTTGATTTTGTGCTGTTCCCTTTGGAGTTCAGTTTAAAAAAAGGGGGGGAGCTCAGACCCCACACTTTACCAGGCCTCCCTTCCCCCCCTCCACTATTTGCTATTATGGGGGGGGGGCTAAGGATCCCACCAAATGAGACCACAGAATGATCTGAGGATCATTCACAGTGAAACGGGACTCTTCATCTTGATCAGAGAAACAAACTTCATTCTAAGATTCCCCTCTTTAAAATTAATATCCAGATACAGATTCTGTCCGTCAGTCGGCAATTCAGAAAACTAAGCTGCTGCATAGAGAAGGCAGGAAAGGTGAAGAAACTTCTCTGACAATAGCCAGCCATGCTAGGGACAATAAAGCAGCATCCGGCTTCTGATTGGTTCACTAAATCCTGGCCAGGAAGGAAAGGGGAGATTGCAGAAATACAAACAAGAAAACAGTGAGTTATGCAAGAATTTAATGGACAGCGGACAGACAGGTTTGTGGTTGTTCCCTCCCACCCCAGGAACATGAGCTCTTCCCCCAGCTGGTAGAATTTGCAACAGAGCCCAGACAACCCTTTGTTTCCTACTCTAAACTGAACCTGCAATTGGAGGTGTGTGGGGAGAATAAGAGCAGTCAATTCTTGGGGAGGAAGGCTCATTTGTTGGCATCTAAGAATAAGCAAACTTTCCTTTCTTTAACTTTTTTTTTGTTTTTTTAATATCTGGGAAGAGACAGAGTTTAAAACGCTGAGATTAAGCCACATTGGTTCCTGGGTGTGTACAGTACAGTGATGGACTTTTCCCGGGGATTAAATCCTTGAGTCATTGAGCCCAGGAAGCTGGAGACTGACTTCTCCCTCGCTGTGGGACTTGTTCACAGGTTGACGTCCATCTGGGTGTCTCACTCAGCCTCCAGGCTCAGTGCCAAGACTGAAACTGCTGTTGGTCGTATTCAGCGATCAGTTTTTTGATATGGGCCAGTTTGTTGTGGAGATATTCACAGCGGTTCTTCTCCTGGCTGTAATTTGGATTAGTCTGCAAGGGAGAAAAAAGAAAGAGAACAAGGCTGACTATGTTACAGTAGGGAAGGGAGTTTGGCTAGTGGTTAAGGCACCGAATTAGAAACCAGGAGACTGTGAGTTCTAGTTCTGTCTTATGTTATGAAAGCTGATTGGGTGACTTTGGGCCAATCACCAGGAGACTGAGAGTTCTAGTCCTGCGTTAGGCATGACAGCCAGATGCGTGACTTTGGGCCACTTTCTTCCTCAGCCCACCCTACCCCACTGGCGTTATTGCTGTGGGGAAAATAGGAGGAAACAATATTATGTATGTTCGTCACCTTGAGTTACAGATAGTCATGATGATCGTAACCTGATCATGTGGACAACCCCACTTTATGACCTTATTTTGTGGTGGTCATTAAGCAAACTCACAGTCGTTAAGCAAACCATTGGTTTGGTACGGGTGCAGTTTTGCAGAAAACCAGAAGTGCCAATATTCAACGAAACCATCATAAAATGGAATCACATGACTCTGGAACGCTGCAAATGGTCGTAAATGTGAGCCTCTTGCTATGTGCCCAAAGTTCAGCCACATGACCATGCTCCCCCCCTGACCTTTGGTACTTTCGATTGGGTCAGAAGCAGCCCCAAGACAGTCTGTCTTAACTTCAAATGATTGCTAAGTGACCAGTGGTAAATCAAGGACTACCTCCAGGGTTAAAGGGAGAGAGAGAGAGAGAGAGAGAGAGAGAGAGAGAGAGAGAGAGAGAGAGAGAGAGGGGTAGTGCCTTCAGTTAGGATAAAAATACCAGGCAAATAATTGCCTGTCCAACTTGAGTTAAGAGTTCTAGAAAACAAAACAGAAGGAAGGAAAGTGAGCAGATGCCGCCATCTGATAGCAAGAAAAATAAGGGCCACCTCTTGCTGGTTTCTGCCATCTGACACACTTCAGCTAGCAACAGGCAATGCTTACTATGAGTTAAATCATCATATTAAAAGTTAGTAGTTTGTTGGATAGCTGCAATATACCTTTTGCATGCTGTTGAATTCAAATGACAGGCACAAGAATTTGGGATTCCATTTCATTCATCCTACCCCCACCTATAGTCTTTCAAAAATGGCTTTTAAAAAAGGGATTTTCAAATTTTAAAATTAGCCATTATGGCAGATAACTGTTGCCAGGCTCCATTTCTTACAGCCGGCCAAACTGAAGCTTTCTCTAACTTGGTGCTCTCCCCCAGATGAGCTAGAGAACAAGATCCAGGAATCAGATGGCCCTGGCACTGAGGGAGCTGCAACTGTGCAAGGAATCAAGTATAGGAAAGCCAATTTGATCCCTGTTTTCTTCAGCCAAGCTGCTTCCAATCAAGCCAAGGTTTCCTCAAGTGAGAAAATTAGGATTTTTTATCCCTGGCTCTCTCACCTCAAAACGCGTTTGGTTTTGAACAAGAAGCTCAGTGACTCACCTTTTTAATTTTTCGGTATTCTTGCAAGATCTGATCGTGGATAATCTGCAAAAGAATGATATGTCACGTATTACAATTATTTCTAAAACCTTTTCTGCAGATTTCTTTCTGCAAAGGCCTCTGTGGATTGAAGAGGCTGCCTTAGCTTATAGCCAAGATACTTTGGTTCCCTCTCTATCTTCTTCAACTGCCCAGAAGGGCCAGCTGCTGAAGTTGGCCAACACTCTGAGCTCCCCACCTTGTATTCTTCCGAGCCCTGAGATAGCTGCTTTAGTTCTGAATCCAGCTGCATGAACCGTCGGGTTATCCGCTCAATACGAGCATGGAGGTCACGATACTCGCCGTACTCCGCGTTGAAATCATTCTTGTAGCTCTGACGTTGCTCCGAGGAAGAGATGGCACCGTATTTTCTGGAGCAGCGATAAGAATGAAAAAATGAAATAATCCCGAAGGAAACAATTACAGGAAGTCCGTTCAAGTTACGACTATTAATAGAGTCTGCCCATTATGGTGGTTAAGTCATGACTTTCGTAAATTGGATCAGTCATGCGACAACTGGGTCTTGTGACTTTTTGTGGTGGTTAAGTGAATGTGGTGAACATAAAGCAAACCCGTGGCTTGCGATGGGCACAGTTTTATCAAAAACCTGAAATGAGTGCCAGTTAATGTCATAAAATGCAGTCACGTGACTGCAGGAAGGTGCAAAACGACCATAAACGTGGCTGGAACTGGGTTGTATCTTCCCTTCTCCAGGAAGGTTGTAACTTTGAACTGTCCTAAATGAACGGTTATAAAGTTTGAGGATTACCTGTAGATAGCATTTGCATTTCACCTACTTTTGTAAGCCTAAGCCAGTGGTGGCGAACCTATGGCACACGTGCCAGAGGCGGCACTCAGAGCCCTCTCTGTAGGCATGCATGCCATGCCCTGGAGACGGCAACCATCCCTCTTCAACCAGCTGCCTGCTAACTTGCCAAGATCCCACATGGCCGGATGTATCCCAGCATCCATGCGCTCACTGGCCTCTGAGGGCAGGGGCCGATGGTATCAGGCAGCAGCTGCCCCGGCCCCTAGCTCACCTTTCTCTGTGACAGTGGCACCCCCGCCCTGCCTCGCCTTGCCTCACCCCGCAGCACGAGCCTCCTGCCCACTGCCCCACCTGCCAGAGATCCCCTGGATCTCCCCCAACCCTGCCCGGCCCCCACAGGCGTCCCTCCCCACGAGCAACAGTGAAGTGATCACGCCCACCTTGGCTACACCCACTCAATCTGCCATGACCACCACAGCCACGTCCACCCAGTGGGCCATGCCCACCCAGCAATAAATAAGTGGGTTTTGGGTTGCAGTTTGGGCACTTGGTTTCTAAAAGGTTCGCCATCATTGGCCTAAGCCTTCCACACCCAGGGTAATGGATGACCTTTACTGATAGTAACCTTCCCCAGCCTGCTACTTTCCCTGAGTATTTGGTCTTAGGGAGCAATGCAGCCCATCCAGAGCTTCATGGTGAGGAAGGCTGGTGTGATATCAGGCCCCAAAAGAACAGTGGAAATAAAGTCTCAAGTGATAAGGGATGATTCTAATGACTAGAAAGTTGTAAGAACTTGACAGTCAATATTACGCTATTGCTAGCCAAACAGATGGTGCAGCTGCATTCAGATGAGTAATATTTCAGGATTAACCAACAAGAAGATTAACAGGCAGCTGAAGACAAAGGGAAGTATAGCAATTCTTCACCTAATACAGTGGTTCTCAACCTTTTTAATGCCGCGACCCCCAACCGGTGAAATGGTTGATCGACCCCAAATGGGGTCACGACCCATAGGTTGAGAACTGCTGACCTAATACCATCTGCTCATAATATTTGCTGCTGTGCTGGTGGCCATTAACAGAACAATTTAACTGAATGTAATGGAAATGTATAGAGGGGCGAGTTGCTCAATTACAAAGAGAGCCAGTTTGGTCTAGTGGTTAAGGCACCAGGCTAGAAAGCAAGAGACTGTGAGTTCAAGTCCCGCCTTAGGCATGAAAGCCAGCTGGGTGACTTTGGGCCAGTCACACTCTCTCTCAGCACAACCCACCACACAAGGTGGTTGTAGTGTAAATAGGAGGAGGAAGGTGTGCTGTATATGTTTGCCACTTTGAGTTATTTGTAAAAATAATAAAGGCAGGCTATAAACAAACAAACAAAAGGCAAACCAGCCATAAACAATGAACAATAAAACATGCATCTATCTATTGCTGGCACATTGGGCTAGCACAGGGGTAGGCAACCTTGGCTCTTTTATGACCCGTGGACTTCAACTCCCAGAATTCCTGAGCCACGGGTCATAAAAGAGCCAAGATTGCCTACCCCTGCACTAGCTCCTTTATGAAGGGAAATCCTAAACCGAATTTTATCACCTATACAAGAAGTCCTCAACTTACAACTGAAATTGAGACCAGATTGTCCACTGCTAAGCAAGATGGTTAAGTGAGTTGTGCCTGACTTTATAATTTTTTTTTTTTTGGCACGATTGTTAAGGAAATCATTGTTGGTTAAGTCAATCCTGCAGCTGTTAAGTGCACACTGACTTCCTTCAGTAACGCTGCTTGTGGGCAGCTGATTGCGAAGGTCGCAAATGGCGATTATATGACCCGGGACTTGCAAGTTGTAAACACATGCCCGTTGCCAAGCACCTGAATTTGGACCACGTGTGACTGTGGGTATGCTGCAACGGTTGTTAAGTGCAATGCCTGATCGTAAGTAACTTTTTTCAGTGCCACTGCAACTTTAAATGGTTGCTAAACGAACGGTTTTAAGTCAGAGACTACCTCTCTCTGCTTCAATAGTCATTGGAAGAGATATTTCTGGATTTGTTCAAGCACAGCAGCTCATGGCTTATAATGAAAACAGCTCTTGTTTTTCAGGTCTCTGCATGCTGAAAAGTAATTTTGCAGCTTTAATGAGATGCAAGTGCTCATACTAGTTCTGACGCAACAGCCACTCTTTTACTGTTCAGTACAACAGCCCCGATCCCTCCACACTTACAGCAAGTAGTCTGGCCTCCCTGATGTAGAAGATGGGACACTGGAGCTGTTGCACGTCCTGTTTAAACCTAGGAGGAGGAGAAAGGGAGAAAGAAAGGGTGTCATGGGACTGTTGACATTCTCAGATCGATGCTCTAAAAATCACCTTCAAAAGCTTTAAAACAGCTTCCCAAGATTTAATGGACATGGTGGGCAAATCTGACAGAAATTCATGAAGATCAGGATTCCCTTTAGGACAGACATGTCAAACACAAGGCCCGGGGGACGGATGCGGCCCATGAAGTGGTTTCATGCGGCCCGTGAAGCCATCTTGGAAACAGCGAGGGAACGGCCCCTGCTGTCTTGGCCCTGGCCCAGGCCATCCAGGAGCCAATGTACAATTTTGTGGTGGCCATCTATGCTGAAATGCATTCAGTCTTAGCTCCACAAGGCCGTGTGGGAACAGTGAGGAACCAGCCCCTGCTGTGTCCGCCCCAACCCCTGGGTGCATGCTGGGGAGGTGTCACCCTTTGTGAGGAATGAAGAAATGGACCATTGTCTGGAAGTGGCCAGCAAATGGCCCTCGCCTACTTCACATATCCGGCTTGATGGCTCCAGGGGAGGGGTTTCGGCAGGCAGCGGGGTGCTCTCCTCACAGCGCCAAGAGATGAGCCGGGTGGTGCGTACCTGCCCAGTTTCAGCAGGCAGCGTGAGAGCACCCCGCTGCCTGCCGAAACCACACCCACCCCACTCCATCCACACCCACCCAGTAGGCTGGCACCCACTCTGACCACACACCCTCGCCCCCCCCCCAGGGAAACCACAATGCTGATGCGGCCCTCAATGAAATTGAGTTTGACACTCCTGCTTTAGGATAAGCTAAAATAGTACCCCTTGAAAAACATATTGTTAACAATTGTTAAATAAATGTAGATAAAAATGTTTTGGATCAATAAGAAATATCTGTTTATGCAAGAGTGGGGATCTAAAAAAATAGGGCTCAAGATGGCTAGCAAGTAGGCTGCTAGACTGGATAGGGCTACTTCTGTATGCCATTCAGGATTATTCAGGCCTTTGCGACCTCTCCGTGATTGTGGATCCCGGAGGGCACCTTGGTTTACCGAGGAACTACGGGAGATGAAGCGTCAGAAGAGACATCTAGAGCGACGCTGGAGGGCTAGTAACTCCGAATCCGACCGGACACTTCTAAGAGCCTATATTAGGACTTATTTAGTGGCAATACGAGCGGCAAAATGTTCGCATTTTTCCGCACTTATTGCGTCTGCAGAATCTCGCCCCGCCGCCCTGTTTAGGGTGACCCGTTCCCTACTTAATGTTCGGGAAGCTGGGGAGCCCTTACATGGTAGAGCGGAGGAATTTGTGCAATTCTTATCAGACAAAATCGCTTGGATTCGGACAGACCTAGACTCCGATTGGGCAGGGCCTTTCGAGATGACTGGGGCAGGTCTTAGCTCAGTTTTATGGGATGAATTTGAGTCTGTGACCGCTGAGGATGTTGACAGAGCGGTGGGAGCAATGAGCGCCTCCACTTGTTTATTGGACCCGTGTTCTTCCTGGTTGGTCTCGGCTGCCAAGGAGGTGACACGAAGCTGGCTCCAGGTGTTGATCAACGCTTCGTTGAGGGAGGGGTCTTTTCCACAATCCCTGAAGGAGGCGGTTGTGAGGCCCTTGCTCAAGAAGCCTACCCTAGACCCGGCTGATTTAAATAACTTCCGTCCAGTCTCCAATCTCCCCTTTGTGGGGAAGGTTGTAGAGAGAGTGGTGGTGCTCCAGCTCCGACGGTCTCTGGATGAAGCGGATTATCTAGACCCTTTTCAATCTGGCTTCAGGCCCGGCTTCAGCACAGAAACCGCTTTGGTTGCGCTGATGGATGATCTCTGGCGGGCCCGAGACAGAGGTTATTCCTCTGTCTTGGTGCTACTTGACCTCTCAGCGGCCTTCGATGATCATGGGCGCTCGAAGGCACCGGGTACAATCGAGGTTTTCCTCTGTCTTGGTGCTCTCCTCTCTCTCAGTTCGATCCATCTGATGGGGGTGACATTCGAGACACGAAGGAGGCATGGGATGGATTTACCTCACAATATCTCGGTCAGGAGCCAAGGCCGAGGAACCCGTGCACAGGGGTCGGTCGCCGCTGGGTGAGGACAGTGAGGTGTATGCTGATGATACCCAGTTATATATCTCCTCCCCGAGCTCTCTCAGTGAAGCGGCCGATGTGATGGGCCGTTGCCTTGAAGCCGTGAGGGTCTGGATGCGGGTTAACAGACTCAGGCTCAATCCTGACAAGACCGAGTGGCTTTGGATGCTGCCTCCCAAGGATCATGTCGACTGTCCAGTGTTGACTCTTGCAGGGGAAAATATACCCCCTTCAGAGCGGGTTCGCAACTTGGGTGTCCTCCTTGATCCACAGCTGAATTTGGAACATCAATTGACAGCTGTGGCTGGGAGGACCTTTGCATAAGTTCGTCTGTTGCACCAGTTGCGACCCTACCTGGACCGGGAGGCTCTCCTTACAGTCACTCACGCCCTTGTCACCTCACGTTTGGACTACTGCAACGCGCTCTACATGGGGCTACCCTTGAAAAGTATTCGGAGACTACAGTTGGTCCAGAATGCAGCCGCGCGAGTGATAGTGGGTGCTCCTCGATACACCCACGTTACACCTATCCTCTGTGAGCTGCACTGGTTGCCTATTGGTCTCCAGGTCCAATTCAAGGTGTTGGTCATTACCTTTAAAGCCCTATATGGCTCAGGGCCAGGCTATTTGCGAGACCGCCTACTACCTCATAGTTCCCTACGTCCAGTTAGATCCCACAGGCTGGGCCTCCTTCGGGCCCCGTTGGCCAAGCAGTGCCATTTGGCGGGGCCGCGGAGGAGGGCCTTCTTTGTGATGGCGCCCATGCTTTGGAATCAGCTCCCCCCGGAGATTAGGACCGCTCCCACCCTGTTGGTCTTCCGTAAGCTACTTAAGACCTGGCTTTTCCGGCAGGCCTGGGGTTTATAAAACCTTACCCCTGGATGATTGTTTTTGTATTGTTGTTTGTTATGTTTTATGGGTTTTTTATTGTTAGCCACCCAGAGTCCTTCGGGAGTGGGGCGGCTTATAAATTTTAAAAATAAAATAAAATAAAAATAAAATGTTGTGCAGAAAAAAATAATTCAGATACTCACGGCTCGTTAAAGAGGGGGAAGTTTAGTATCAGTACTGCCTTGAACGCAGGTGTCCAACATTGGCAGCTTTTAAGATATGTGGATTTCACTTCCCAGAATTCCCCAGTTAGCTAAACTGGCTCAAGAATTCTAGGAGTTGAACTCCACAACTCTTAAAGTTGCCACGGTTGGACACCTCTGAGAGAACATTCCTGAGTGAACATTCACTCTGAATTCCATTTTTGGTTCAGATATGGACAAAAAACAAATTAAGGATCAGAAAGGCTGATCACAACTCCAGGCTGTAGTTTGCAATAGTTTAAAATACCAAGGCTTTACATTTATTCCATTCGTTTCTGGAGCACAGGAGATCCTAGGCTTTATCACATTTGGTAGAATAACTCAGCAGTAATTGTTATCCCTGGAGGAATCAGAAGCTGTTATGAAGCCTCTGATTCGACTAGATATGCCACTCCAGTATAAAGCAACTTCCTATTATCACAATTAAATATAAAAACTAGTAGTTAGCACTATTTCTAATGCTGATTGTCTCTTACGGATCCAAAGTGAGGCTGGTCTATAAAAACATGGTCACTTTTAGGAATTGGAGATTTAAGACTGGAAGGTGATTTGGTTATAGACTTTATAAAAGGCCAATTGAACAAGACTAGTCCATGCTACAACGATGGATATCCATGTATGGGAAAACGGAGCTTAAAATAAAAAGTAAACAATTCTTCTATACCATCTGAGATTTATTGTAAAGTTGTTAAATGAGATTTTTCAACAACTCTCTGCTTATTCACTCCTAATGAGCCTATTCAGATTAGGTAAGAAATAAAATCACCCTGGGGGACTTTGATGGGTTCCCTTAACAAACTTAAATCAAACTGAAGAAGCTACTTGGATAAGCAGGAAAATGTTTCAAATGAAAAAAGAAAACAAGTCCCGTTACCACAGTTCAACTTCCAGACAATTCTACCTGGATGACTGAGAATCTTCATCCACATCAGGATTCAAGCCTCTTTCCCCTTCCTTGTACTTTTTGTGGTATTCACAGTTTGAAAACGCTAGCCACTCAACTTGAGTGTTTGTCCATTTTGCAACTTTTAGATTGCTTCAGATTAAAAGGAACAAAGCTACTGCAGTTGATTAGCAGGATGTAAAAGATAATCTGGATTGCAATTCCACACTTCCCACACCATCAAAGAGGGACTTTGGAGGGTCAAAATGCACCGGATAGGTCAAAATACTTATGTGGAGGACAGCACAGCCACCAGCCTTCTGTGTGCTGGATTTTAAGCCAAAGACCAACAAAATGAAGCAGCTTACGAGGCAGGAGGACTAACATAACACAATCACAAATTCCTATTCTGTGTGGAGTCTAGAGCAGTGGTTCTCAACCTGTGGGTCGGGACCCCATTTGGGGTCGAACGACCATTTCACGGGGGTCGCCAAACAAGGCTGTCCGCCATTTTCCCCCCCTTTTCTTTGGCCACGCCCCTGGCACCCGGTGATGTTTAAGTGGTTGGGGTCACCACAACATGGGGAACTGTATTATGGGGTCGTGGCATTAGAAAGGTTGAGAACCACTGGTCTAGAGGAATGATCACAAAAGAAACTGCCTTCCGACTGGCCAGCCAACTGATTTGTCTACCTCTGTCTCATCTCTGCAGGTTTGCAGCAGTTTTTCAAAGTCTAGAGAAGCATATTTCTCACTACCTGTTCCTTGTTCCTTTTATTTGTGGTATCATGGACTGAACAAGGAATGATTTATATTCAAACCAAGATCACTACCACCCAGCAATTATACTTTTACGAGCCAATACTCCTACTGTCTCCCTCTGTATATTTGCTTAGGTTTGCACCCAAAGGATGCAGATATCATATATCTGTAGATACACCAGTATCATATATCTATATTGTTAGGACACCCTGCCTTAAACTAAACATGTCTTTTCCTGGGATTACACAGCTGCTGCCTGACCACAGAGGGAGATTCAGCTTTGTTAAAGAGCTGTAGACCAGTGTTTCTCAACCTTGACCATTTTAAGGCATGTGGACTTCAACTCCCAGAATTCCACAGCCAGCAATGCTGGCTGTGGAATTCTGGGAGTTGAAGTCCACATGCCTTAAAATGGTCAAGGTTGAGAAACACTGCTGTAGACAGATGCCACAGAAGCTGTCCCAGATGTTACGAAGTCTCTTGTTGCCCCTGAATCTGACACACCACCAAATCCATCAGTTCCCTTACTGGGTCCCATCCTCACCTGCGCTGTCTTGTGAGGGGCTCATTTTGGAGCCACCCTTTTTTAGTTCACAGTTTGGCTTCTCGTGGACCTGTTGCTGCTCCTCCTTCCTTTCTCGTTCCTTATGTTTCTTCTTCCTGGATTTTGAGTGCGGAACACAATTGTGTTTGCTCGTCTGGGCTGGGGTTGCGGCCGACCGGCTTGCTGTCCGCCTTTCGGCCGGCTCTGCCATCTCAAAGTCTTTGCCGTTATGGTTTAGATCATTGCTAACATCAGCAAGTGGGTCGTGAGGCCTAGGTAGCTCCAGAGTGGGCAAAAGAGAGCTAGAGCTGACTGAATCAGCCGCCACCATGGTGGGCAAAGAGGTCTCCTTCCCATTGGCAGAGCTGAGTTTGCCATTGAAAGTGGGCTGAGTCCTTTGGGCACAGTGAGAGATCCTTGGCTTTTTGTTGGTGAGGGGGTCAATAAAGTCCAGGGGCTGGGGTCGCTTCTAAGGAAAGGAAATAGAAACAAGATTAATAATGAAAGCAATGTTTTAAAAAGCATACAAAAATGAAGAACTGGACTTATCCGAGAATAAAAAATATTTATTGCCACTAGGGGGCAATACAAGGCCACGTTTGTGTTCATTTTGGCATTTACTGATTTTTTTTTTCCCTAAAAGAAAAAAAAACAAAACAAAAAAAAAAACAAGTGCCAATAATATCGCTATTCTGGTGTTATAGTGCTTTCCCTCTGTTCACAGATTTCTCCTGCCCAAGCGTGCCTCCCTGACATTCTATAGGTGTCTCTTCCTTTGGCATTTGGGCAGGTTTGTAACGTATGGACTATTCATCATATATTTTTGTGTACATGTGTTCAAAGCAGCGTTTTTCAAACTTGGCAACTTTTAAGATGTGTGGACTTCAACTTCCAGATTTCTGGGACCTGGAGGCTACTTATCTTAAAAGTTGGCATGTTTGAAAAACGCTGGTCCAAAGATAAACCGGACATAAGTTTAAAACAGGGAAGTTGAAACAGAAACTAGAACGGAAGAAGCTTCTTGGAAAAAAAGCAAAACATTTTCGAGGAAAAAAATACCCCAGAAAGCCCAGTTGCCTTTTGGAAAGCCCCTCTGGGACAGCCATGACTGGCTGATGAGAATCTCCACAGACAATCGGGGAAGTGGAAAGCTACACTTTCCTAGATAAAAGTACCCATTCCTTTAGCCATGTCCTACCAGCCTGACCACAACAGCTTTCAGTGTCAGTCACGGAAAGTGTTCTGAGCAGAGCTGCTCAAGATCTCTCCAGAACTCTTCTAAGGACTGAGCCCGGGGTTGGGTTTTTTGGGGTGGGGGAAGATCATCCTCCACCATCAATCTCTTCTTGCAAAGAAACAGCAAGAAATCTCATGGAACATGCAGCCAAAGCCTTTGATTCAGCTCTTGATGTCAGAAAGAGTGGAGTAGCTTGGTCGTTGAGGAAGGTGACAGCCTTATTTTATTTTTTGAAAAAAAAAAATATTGGTTATTGATTTTCTAATTTCTAAAAGCAACGTGGTGGCTGAATTGGTCAATAATCCAATAACATACAAATATCTTTAGTACAGATCTCAAACTATTACATTAAACATTTCCTCTCTTTTCCCCTTGGTATTTACTGTATGGTATTTAAATTAATACAATTCTTATATCGATTAAATAAAAATAACTTTCTTACATTTATCAATAATTTTTGTTTATACATATCCTAGTTGTCTTAACATTCAATCTTTTTAGGCCAATCAATGCCCTGGTTTGTTTCCCCCAATTTTTAGTTTCCCATTAATATTTAAATTTAACGTTTAGTATTTATAATTTCCAACTTTTAAATAATCACAATTCCTTTTATCACAATTCATCACAAGATCTAATGTTTGGGATAAACATCTTATCTACCTATATTCTGGCGTATAAGACAACTCGGCATATAAGACGACCCCCAACTTCGGCGCCGATTTTAACGCTTGCGAAAGTCGTCTTATATGCCGGAAAGTACGGTATTTGAATTCTCGCCATCTTACATCAACCAATTAATAATACAATATAATATTCTTATTTTCTGATAAATTTCCAAATATCTTAAAATTTAGTAACCAAAATTTTTCTTATTTCAATATTTAATACTTCCTCTCCTCTTCTCTTAATATCTACTATCTCTTATTTAAGCTAATTTTTTATTGCCGCTAAATAAGAACATATTTATTACATTCATCGATAAATTTTTAGCTTATATATATTGTGATTACCTTTACAATTAACCTTTATAAGCCTTATTTCCCACGAAGGAGGGAGGGGCCAGTGAGTAGCTCCCCTGCAGCCTCCAGGCTGGAGAGGAAACTGGAACTCACCTGTGGACAGCCACAAATCATCAAGGAAGCAGAGTTATGAAGGCTTGCTTACAAACCACCTTCTGACAGTATGGGAGGTGGGAGGAAGGCAGATATGGGGTAACAGTTGCGGCACACCAAGCCTAGCCAGCATGGGCTTGGAAAGCCCCTTTACACAACCGCTGTCTCTGAGTGAAACTTTTCACTAGAACAAGGGTGTGTGTGTTTTTAAGACAACAGCAAGGCCTTCAACTGTTATTTGTGTATGCAGAACTGGAACTGCCTGATCAATCTGAAAAGGTACATCAGCCTTGTATCCTGGATGATATGTAAGCCGTGAGAGTTTCACACTTACCTGAGGAGGGGAGGAGGAAACGTTTGCGGTATCCCTTGGGGGGCTGGGAGCAGAATTCTCAGGGACGCAGCTGGGATTCTGTGGTGGGCAGAGTTTCCTGGAAAAAGAACAGCCCAGCATTGGCTCTCAAGGAAAGCATCAACGACCGAAGCCACTGAGCCAGGAGCAAGTTAAAACATTCTGGATCAAAGTGCCAAATGTTTTTTTTTTTTAAAAAAAACCCTCCATTTAATGGTGGAAGGCATTTACTACATACCTCTCTACGTATGACCAAACCTCTCAAGCAACCTAAAATCTCCTAACTTAAAGAATGAGTAAAAATCCACGACCCACTACTCCTGTGGTTTTGACATTTCCACAATGTTCGGTTTTATTCACAAAGTGGTGGGCACTGCAGCATCCATCCCCACAGTCGCGCGGTTGTGATTTCTGATGCTCCTTGCCACCTTCCCACAAAACCAGTGGGGAAGCTGGCAGGAAGTTGACAGTTACTCCCATTCTCACTGCTTTTTTGCCTGTCTGAGGTCCTTCTGTTTATCAGCTTAAGTAAATACTGACTTATTATTGAGTAAGTTCATTTGCCACTACAATTATTTTTCTATTTATGATATATGAATTATGATGATTACTTGGTTATGATGATTATTATTACTTTGTTGTTTTGCATATACACTGAGAGCTTATGCACCGGAAACAAATTCCTTCTGTGTCTAATCACACTTTGCCATTATAGCGTAGCATGTATCGTATTGTACAGGTAGTTCTCAATTTACGAACACAATTGAGCCCAAAATTTATGTCACTAAGTGAATCACTGCAGTTCTTAAATTACAGGGTTCTTAAGTGAATCTGGTTTCCCCGTTGATTTGCTTGTCAGAAGGTCGCAAAAGGAGATCACGTAACTCTGGGGACACTGCAACCGTCATAAATGTGAGTCAGTTGTCAAGCATCCAAACATAAATCGCGTATCCATGGGGATGCTGCAATGGTCATAAGTGTGAAAAATGGTCATAAATTACTTTTTTCACTGCCGTTGTAACTTCGATCACTAAATGAACTGTTGTAAGTCAAGGACTACCTGTATTATATCGTGCTGCATTCCTGTTCCTGTTTTGAAAAGGACTTTGGAGGTCTTCTACTCCAGCCCCTTGCTCAAACAGGAGACTCTATACCATTTCAGACAGGTGGCTGTCCATTCTCTTCTTAAAAACTTCGTGATGAAAGCACCCACAACTTCTGATGACAAGCTGTTCCACTGGTTAATTGTCCTCACTGTTAGCAAGTTCTAACTTTTTAATTAATACAGACTTCTTAAGTTCTATAAACTCTTCTTTGATCTCATGGGATCATCCTGCCTTGGAATAAAAAAAAATACAGCCAGCCTAACTTTAGTGTTTATTCTGATCACATCAGACTTTACTACCTTTCTCTCAAAGGGTGACCCACTCAAGGGTTCTCTAGTGAAGATTACATTTTAGGCTGACCATATTTTTTACTCCAATGCTGGATGGATTTTCCTGACCAGAAAGCCAGCAAAGGCAATTCATTTTGTAGGACAGGAAGGCTTTTTCAGCAACTGCAAACAAAGGCAAAGGTAAGTGTTCACCTGGCTAGGCTCTGGGAGTTCCCCTGTGTTGTACAAGGATGTGTGCTGGTGTGCGTGCATGCATGCACAGGAAACAGACAGGACTCGTACAAATGCTGCTCTTCCTCGATGCTAATTAAGCAAGAGATGGCTCAATTTCCCCCATGTGTCATGTCTTCTGTTTCTATTGCCATGTTTTTCATCTGATTCACACACACGCACACACATTTTCTTTTTTTTTTGCTAAGGCAAACAAGAACTCTCTTTCCTTTTTTCCTGTCCTGTTTGAACAGTTTCCACAGTTTGTAAACCCAGCTGGCTCGGAGGAGAGACGCTGTTGGTTTAGCAAGAATCTGAACGTCCAGGAGTTTTCTTTGGCAAATGAGGGGAACTGATGGGCACTGAAACCCAACTACTGAATTATAATTAAATGGAAAATTACAAATTATACACAGACTGCACAGAATCAGGGCATGGGCTGGAGCAGTTGTATCAACTCAAGTCCTCCAGAGGAAAAGGAGGTGGCGACTTTTATGTCCCTTCCTTCTCGTATTTATTTTTTTGGCCTGTGGATAAGCAGTAACCTAAAAATAGAGAGTGGAACGGATGGAGCCGCCTGGGCAAACAAAAACGAACCAAAAGAAGCCCAGAAGGCGACAAAGTATATTCCAGTTATTACAATATAATTCTGTGTCTTGTCCCAAGAAAAGCAAAAGGACAAGTTTTGCAAACTGGCTCAACTTCTCTTACTCTGTTCTTGATCCATTTTGCTTGCCTCTAAGAGGAATGGGCTGTAATTCGCCCATTCTCCAAAACTGAAAATCACGATTGATTACTTCCAAGGATCCTGCAATTTCATGCAGATTTTTAACCATAGATTTCTAAGCTTATTTTCCCAGGCATCTAGAGCAGCCTTTCTCAACCAGTTGCCGAGCTTGAGAAATATTGATCTAGAACACAATGAAGATGATTGAGGAATATGGAATGTTGTGGAACAATTCCTAGAATTCTTAAGTCGGCACGATCTGCTAAGGGATACTTGGAAATACAATTTAACAACAGATTCTTGGGCTTAATCTCTGTCAATCTCAATCCTGGGCTATTACAAATTCAAACTGAGGTTTTTAAAATGGCATTTCTCAACCCTGGCATGTTGAGGATTTGTGAATTTCAATTCCCAGCACTCTGGTTAGGGCAGGAGTAGGCAACCTTGGCTCTTTTATGACTCGTGGACTTCAACTCCCAGAATTCCCAGCATAGCTGACTCAGGAATTCTGGGAGCTGAAGTCCACGAGTCATAAAAGAGCCAAGGTTGCCTACCCTTGGGTTAGGGAACTCCAGCAGTTCAAATCCCCACATCTTCAAGCTAGAGAAACACCGTTCTAAAGTCTTACTGGTAGTCCTTGATGTACGATTGTAACTGAGCCTGGAATTTATGATAGCAAGTCATGCTTTTTAAGTGGATCACCACATGACCATGCCCCATTTTGCAGTGGTCATTAAGCAAACACAGTGGTCATTAAGTGAATCCGTTTTCCAATGGGCATTTTTTTTTTGCCAGAACTCAGAGACAGACACCAGAAAAGGGCAAAAAACATAAACAATTATGGTCTCATGATCGCAGGATGCTGCAAACAGCCATAAAAGTGAGTCGGTTGCCAAACACCCAAAATGTGACCATGCGATTGCAGGAATGTGTGTGCATGTGGCCATCAGAACTTTGAAAATGGGTAAGTACCTTTTGGGGGGAGGTGGGGGGATCTGTCATAACTTTGAATGGTTGCTAAGTGGCCAGTCTTAAGTTGAGGACTATCTATACATGTTTATATTCCACCGGAGAGCAATCTGCAGTTCCCAGGAAGGCCAAATATACTTTTAGTTGGGATGGGAAAATCTGTGCATTTCCGGACATTGTAGAACTTCAGGCCACTCGGAGGCCTCAAGGAGCGAGACACAAAAGCTGCTCAAGCCAGCATGGCCAGCCAAGAGTGATGTCTGGATTTACCATCTCACAACTCCATGAAAAACGATGGCAAGAGTAAAGGACACAGCAAACCTGGCCTTTGTGACTTCCGCTCTCTTAAAATGGTTGTTCCCCTCAAGAACATGCTTCCCTTGCAATCCCTAAAGGCAACTTGTTAAAAGATGGCCGGAGCGGAGGCACTAATACAGTGGTTCTCAACCTTTTTAATGCCGTGACCCCCAACCGGTCATAAGTTGAGGACTACTCAACCGGTCGTAAGTCGAGGACTACTCAACTGGTGCAGCACCGTTTGCAGAATGGGACTTTTGGCGGGCTCAGCAGGGCAGAGACAGCCTGGACAATTCCTATTGGCTTTTGAAAGCCAATAGAATTAGACTCTATTCAAGAGAGTCTATTCTATTGGCTTTCAAAAGCCAATAGAATAAAAGGGAGTAGCACAGCTAAGGAAAAGGGGAAAAAATGGCGGACTGCGTTGTTTGGTGACCCCCGTGAAATGGTTGTTCGACCCCAAATGGGGTCCCGACCCACAGGTTGAGAACCACTGCACTAATAGGTTGCGCCAGTGTGAACTATCGCTGGTCTCATCCGAGACCAGACGTGAGCTACCCTAAGATGTTAACTTTGAAAGCGAAAAATATTGTCATTTTTGTCATGTTGACGGGGAGTCTCCAAAAGGAGACCTCAATCTTCCTTCTGCCTGTAATTGCCAGAGAATATTCTCCAAAAGCAGATTCCGAGAAAAAAACAAAAACAAATGAGGAAACTTATTAATGACCAAGGTGGCGGAAGGAAGTAACCTTTTAGTGACCACTGGATCGGTATTATACTTCTTGATTCTACTCAGCCAGTAAAATCAAGCGGGGTGTGTATATGCTGGATCCTATTGACCAAAGAGTGTCATCTTACGGGATCCAGGAAGTGTCTATACTGTTGCAGTGCCTGAATTCCAGGCATGTAGATCCATGCAGCTCCCACCCTTATGATGTCCAAGAAACTACTAAAAATCTAGTTATTCTCCTCAGCCTTGGAACTAGATGATTGTGCAGCCTCTATTTAAGATTTGGTTTACGGATGGGGTGTTTTGCTCCTTCGATTGGCTGTGATCTCTTTTTATAAGTATTGCTTTTTCTTTTAATCTATAAGCCAACTCAAGAGTCTTCAAGGAATGAGACACAAACAAATAAGCCAATGGACAAATAAATAAATTGAGGTACAATTAAAACACGTTAACTCATTCTGAAAGAGACCCCGGAGCTCCTACCGGAAAAGGATCCTCTTCAGCAGCTGTTGGTCTCCTTCTGAGTAGCCAGGCCAGTCCTTCTGCACCTCTTTGTAAAGATAATCTTTCAGGGTGCATGTGCTGTCTTTGGCATTCATGTTTGCAACCTGTGGGTCAGGTCAGAAGGAAAAGGAGTTTAAATACACTGGATGGAAGCCAGAGAGACCAAGTATAATTGCAGCCCTCTAAAAGCATCAGACAAGGACTTAATTGCACCAGGGAGGCATGAAAAACCACACATCTGTGGGGTCCTTTTGCGTTTTGCCAAATCATCTGTTAAGAGCAGGATTCAGCATTTTTTTTAAAAAAAGGCTTGTCTTATGAGCCTGAAAAGGTTCTAGCTCTCATGAATGTGGAACAAAAGCTTCACAGTCTAACTCTGCACTTCTTGGCTGCCTGGAGAAAGAAGACAAGATTTTAAGAACTGGAACAACAAGACTACAATTTTGAGGAAAATCCCTCTGTAATTTGTTCTGCTCCTTGAGTAATCTTTTACTGAGAGGAGAGAATGAATGTGCACCTTGGTACGAGCAAAGAAGCAAGGTAAGAGCAGCATAGAAGGGCTGCTCAGAGTTATAAATATACAGTAGTCTTCTCCCACTTCTCCTGATTACATGTAGTCCTCAAGATATGACTGTAATGGACTTGCCCATTATGGTCATAAAAGGAGTCAATCATGTGGCTGACCCAATTTTACTATCTTTTTTGTGGCAGTTGTAAAAAGAATGCCACGGTTAAGCAAGCACCATTGTTCGCAATTTTACCCCAAAAACTGGAAGTGCCAGCAAAACCATTGTAAAACGTGGTCATGCCCATCATAACTCTGAACAGTGGCTAAGTGACTGGTCATAAGTTGAGTAAGTTACCTGTACAGTACACTCTTATGTTTTCTAAAATATCACTCATCTAATATGTTATTAAGCATCTAACAACAATCAACAATGAGCAAGAATGAGACAGTGGCCTTTCCCTAGTCTCCAGCTTCTACGTGGGGACGCTTCATTTAGATCAGGGGTGTCCAGCCTTGGCAACTTTAATATTTGTGGACATCAACTCTCAGACAGAATTCTGGGAGCTGAAGTCCATAGGTCTTAAAGTTACTGAAGCTGGATTAAATTATTAGGATAATTTAGTGAACAACCTCTGGTTGTCCTGAATGAAAATTACTCCATTTCTTCAACAGCTGACCACAGGTGCACGTAGGCGTTTTATAACAATATCTGAAATATCAATTTACCTGCTGCAAGAGGCTGTCCAAGGAATCCTTATCTTGCAGAGAAAGGCCATCCTTTTGCAACCTAAGGAGGAGTTCTGGTTTCTTATAAGGCTTGAGAGCCAGCAAGTGCATCACCCGATCTTTGAAAGGCCTCTGGGAGACGGCACTATTGCCCTTCTTGATGGCACTGGCGAGGTTGACAGGTGTTGGGCGTATCCGTGAGGGAACAGTGTCGGACACCCCTGGTGCAGGCTTACGCATCTTAACGGTCTTTCCTATGGATTGAGGAAATTGGGGAAAAGAAGAGAACACAGGAGCTTGGAGCTGTTTTATTCTTTCCAGACAAAGTCAGCCTGAAATTAATATTCATACAGCCTATAAAAACACTTAGCATATTCAACAAAGCACACTTATTGACATCTAAGTTACTTCTGCAGTTTTTGAGGTTGTGATTCTTTCTTTGAATAAGAAATGGGCAGCGCTGGGTCAACCAGAATGGCGATGAAGCAAAAATGCAGATTTATAACTATTGAAATGTGAGGATTAGCTATAAAGATAGAACTGTATGAGTCATAACCATTTGTTTTATCTCTTGAACAGGATCAGGAACCAATGAAGCTGTTGTAACTAGAGAGTCACATCCTCTATCTAAGTGGCCTGGTTTCAAGTCAGCTGAAGTTTCTGAACAATGTCAAAGGTAATTCTCCTTAAAAGCATATATTATGCTGTTGTGGCTAATGCAGATGTCACTGTGGCTATGAACCTTTTCCAAACTCCTCATGCCAACTTAGGCATTCCCTGTATTACTAAATACTTCCACAGAGTTCAGCTATGAAAGCTTTAATTCTGATTTCTACAAACAGCAGGAACATCAGCTCAGCAGCCAGATTGTTCCTTTCATCTCCTATTATTAATATGATAAATGGCAGCTGGTCCAATTTAGCCATTGGCATATATGCAGCCTCTCTGTTTGTAATAATCTAGTCACACTTATTCTTTTTCTGATTGTAGTAAATAGTGTAGTCTATTCTTCAAGTTCTTGCGGGTAAGTCCTCACTTTACAAAGCCCGCTTTAAGCTTTTTTCCCTCCAGTAGGCAATGCTGCTGTGATGCAAGACGCTAACCCTAGCTTTTTCCAACCTGTAGCTTTTTAGATAGGCTAGATTGCAGTTCCCCAAAGCAGCTGCAAAGACTTCTGGTCTCAAAGTATCACAAAATCCTGAAGCTGGAAGGGGCCACTTAATTCAAAACAGGAATCCAAACTGTAACTTCTTAGATAGATACCTGTCCAATCTCCATCAGAATAGAGCCAATTAAGGGGATCCTACGGCCTCTGAACTTTTCTCTCTCTGTATATGTCTTTGAGTCAGTGCTAACACCTGGCAACTGCCTGGACAGAATCCTGTAGTTTTCTCGCCAAGATTTTGGAAGTGGTTTGCCATTGCCTCTTTCTTAGGGCTGAAAGTGTTATGATTGGCCCAAGATGAGACTACAACTCACAGACTCACGGTTTCTAATCTGGTGACTTAGCTGCTACACCATAGTGGCTCTCGTGTATAATTCTGAATTGTCTCTGAGCATTCCAAAATTATCAATACAAGCTATTAGAGCCTGCTATCTAGAAACCTGTGTATTCTTCTCATTTGTTGCTCATCTTAGCCACCAGCAGAGGGGGAGGGAGAGGGAGGGAGGGAGGGAGGGAGAGAGAGAGAGAGAGAGAGAGAGAGAGAGAGAGAGAGAGAGAGAGAGAGAGAGAGAGAGAGAAGCCAGCCCTATTTTGCATGCCACATGCCACAAATTGGGGACAGCTGTCCCAGTTCTGAACTAGAGTGCTTGACCTTCACAGAAATTTCCCCATATTCACATTCAAGATATGGGCTTTGAAAATGTTTCATTTAAAAAAAAAGTTCCCTAACATCCTAATTTTGATTCAGATATGACAATGGGATAAATGCCACCTGAAAGGCAAAATCAAATAAGGGGGAAAAACAATGTTTTAATAAAAAGAGCCTTTTTGCCTCTTTATTTAATAATAATAATAATAGTAGTAGTAGTAGTAGTAGTAGTAGTAATAATAGTAAAGTTGGAAGGGACCTTGGAGGCCATCGAATCCAACCCCCTGCTCAGGCAGGAAACCCTATACCATTTCGGACAAATGGCTGTCCAGTCTCTTCTTAAAAACTTCCAGTGTTGGAGCATTCACCGCCTCTGGAGGCAGGTTGTTCCACTGGTTAATTGTTCTAACTGTCAGGAAGTTTCTCCTTAGTTCTAGGTTGCTTCTCTCCTTGGTTAGTTTCCAACCGTTGCTTCTTGTCCTGCCTTCAGGGGCCTTGGAAAATAGCTTGACTCCCTCTTCTTTGTGGCAGCCCCTGAGATATTGGAACACTGCTATCATGTCCCCCCTTCTCTTCGTTAAACTAGACATACCCAATTCTAGCAGCCGTTCCTTATATGCTTTAGCCTCTAGTCCCCTAATCATCTTTGTTGCTCTTCTCTGTACTCTTTCTAGAATCTCAACATCTAACCCATTTATCTAACCCTTTAAAAAAAAACTGTGACATAAAGTTTGTCTTTGATTTGGCAGTTTCAGCACAGAGCACAGATTGTTGAGGAGCTTTATAAAAGGCATTTATTTTAGAAAAAAACAATATATTTCCAGCTACATCGTGTGTAAAAAAAATACCACACCGAGGCCAGCTTCAACTGACAGTAAAAAAAAAAAAAAAAAAAGTCAGGAGAAACACAAGCAGTTAAGCAGTCATATCCAGGAAGGCACACCCACATGGGAGGAGACATTCTCCCAGTCCAACCTTATGGTTTAATTTAAGGCACGTAGTTTCCCATCCACCAGCAAGTCAACCTCTTCCACTGCTCCTCTGATAAGCATTGCTCCAGCAAACCCCTTGTGCTTTCCCCAGAAGAACAGACCACACTTCCTTCCTGAATGCTTGACTTTTGGTCTGGTTGAAATGTACAACTGACTCAGAAAATGATGAGTCAGGATATCTTGCCAACCACAGCTGATAAACCCCTACAGCTTCTAAGTTCAGATTCGCTGAGGATGAGGGGGAAATACAGGCCAAGTCATGAAGTTGGGAAGATCTCTCTCCTGGGCTCTGAGGCAAGAGATCAGAGATGATGCATCTAGTGAATGTGTGCTACTGCCCTCCAGCCCCTTTGGGGTTAATCTATCTGGTCAGGTGGTTCTCAAAATTCTATACTGGGAACCCTTTGTTGGAAATACTCTAGGTCAGGGGTCTTCAAACTTGGCCCTGTTATGACTTGTGAACTTCAACCTTCAGAATTCCTCAACCAGCGTGCCTGGTTGAGGAATTCTGGGAGTTGAAGTCCACAAGTCATAACAGGGTCAAGTTTGAAGACCCCTGCTCTAGGTGATGAACAGGAGTCTGTGCAAGATTCTGACTCTTGCTTTTGATGAAAGGAAGAGTGGAATGGTGGTGGGCGCGAAGCAGTTACTGGGCCAACGTCCTACCAATCTGGATGCCATCCAGCTGTATGGACTAAAGCCAATATTCTCTAGTCAGCATGGTAGGAAGAAAGGCTGATTAACTGTTTGTGTCTCCATTATTTGCTACTCGATGCACTTTTCCTTCCTGTTTTTAGAAAAACAAACAACGCATGCTGCTGGATTACCTCTAAACCAGTGTTTTTCAAACTTGGCAATTTTAAGATACGTGGACTTCAACTTCCTGATTCTAGCTGGCTGGAGAATTGAAGTCCACACAACTTGAAGTTGCCTAGTTTAACAAACTCTGTTCTAAATAATCACAAACAACAGGATTCTGTAAATGTTATCCTGCACTTGTTTAGGAAATGTCTATAATCTCCAATGCTACTACCGACTAATGGCTATATATGCAACTTTTCACTATTCACTTTCCAGGTCGGTGTTGAATTCACATGCGTCTCCCTGTGTGCAAAACAAAAAAGCCTCAAACTTACCAACGTAACGCCCTCCAGGCTTGATGACAATGGCACCCCGGCTCCGTGTCTCCTCTTCCACCAGGGCCATGCTCTGCTTTGCCTTCTGGTAGGATTCATCGGTGGCACAGACAGTGATTTTGTCCTGGATGCTGCCAAGGCAATCCAGCTGAATGTTACCATTGCTGTATTAAAAAAAAAAAAGGGGGGGGGAGTCAGAAATTAAGCTTTTGTCACAATCTCTCTCTCTCTCTCTCTCTCTCTCTCTCTCTCTCTCTCTCTCTCTCTCTCTCTCTCTCTCTCTCTCTCACACACACACACACACACACACACACACACACACTATCCCATTGAAAGTAAATTGTTTTGACCCCAGCCACTGTTGCCTTCTCGGTTGTCAACCTGTATTATTCTCTAGTTCACTGAGCCCTTTGTTCCAGGGGCCTGCTTGGTACCAGGTCACGCCCGATGCACACCACTCTTTTACAGCGGTGGACCGGGCTTTGCAGGGGAGAGCCCATAGGCACGTCTACGTCAGGAAGCAGCTCCTGCAAACACAGAGCATTCCTCACCTGGACACATACTGCTGGATGCAATCAAAACTCCCCTGAGGGCTGTCCTTGCCAATATTAGAGAGATAAAAGGAAAATGTCCGAACTCCTGTTGGGCAGTCTGGTCTCGGTATTGAGATGTGCTGTTTTAGAAGAATAGGAAATATAAATATCTGTCCCGGCAAGAAAGATAAACAGGTCTGAATTCCAGTGAAAGAAAGTACAGCCAATTATGGAGTCTAATTAAATCAAAAGATTGGCTTTGGAGGGGATAGAAGCAGAATCCGGTGCATCTACCCAGAAAGAGATGCAGCCTTCTTTAAGGACCTAAGAAATGAGAAGGTGATTTATTCCAGGTGAGATATCCACTCAGCTAAATTAATACTCCAAATTTCGAAGTCTCGGGTAGAGGAAAAAAATAGAAAATTTCTATTTCTTTATGTTTTTTTTTTAGCTTTGGTTTTGCTCATTGCTCTTTATTTTTAAAATGTTTTTGTTGTTTGTTTCTTGTCTGTCTCCCCCCCCTTTTCCTCCCAGGTAGTTTAGTTCCCCCCTTTTTTTCCACTATATAGGTATTTCTCATCTTATGACCACAATTGAGCTCAAAATTTCTGTTGTTGAGACATTTAAGTAAATTTCGCCCCATTTTATGACCTTTCTTGCCACAATTTTGTTAAGTGAGTCACTAATTGTTAAGTGAATCTGACTTTCCCATTGACTTTGCCTGTCAGAAGGTTGCAAAAGATGATCACCATGACCCTGGGATACAGCAACCGTCATAAATATGAGTCAGTTTCCAAGTGTACGAATTTTGATCATGTGATCACAGGGATGCTGCTGCAACCGTTATTAAGTGTGAAAAACGGTCATAAATTACTTTTTTCAATCCTGCTGGAACTTTGAATGGTCCGCTAAATGAACTTTTGTAAGTTGAGTATTTGTAGTTTTTTTTTAAATTAGAGGTAAAGTTTACTTTAAAAAATATCTATAATTCTTTATACAACAGTAATTGTTATACCACCATGTTCTCACATATATATATATATATATATATATATATATATATATATATATATATATATATATATATATATATATATATATATATATATATATATATATAGGTAATATCTGTTTTAAACAACTGGCAACTGTAATATCTTTAAACCTTGTTAAAATTATATTTAAAAAAAATAACACAAAGTGATAATCAGAAGATAGATAATACCAGAGTAAATAAAAGTCAATAAAGAAAAGATTAAATAAGAATAAAACAGATGGTCAGCAGAAACCTCTCTTAAAGAGAAAAGTGACAATGAAACACTGGAAAGCATGCAAAAGAATCTCTTGGGATGAGAAGTTACAAAACGTAGATCCTTCAAAATCCTTATTCTGTGTTCCCATTTTGGTTGGTTCATAGAAGAGTTTTCTCCAGATAAATGCAAAAAAAGGTGGTCCACCATGAAATTAACCAAAGGCAATGGCAGAGAATAAAAATCTTGGGGTTCTATTGAGGCTAAAACTCTGGTCTAGAAGCAGTTACTGCTAAAGAAAGAAGTGGGGATTAGAAGTGGCTCACTATAATTAATTCCAGACTGCTAATAAATCCAGTGAGTTGCATATATATTCTTGCATCCATGCAGGAGAGAACAAGGTATTATATACATACATGTTCACAGCTGTTTGTTATAAGCCCCAATGACAGCAAAGTGATGACTTGGAGTTATTTGTGGGATGGGTGACATCATGGACACAGGTGTCATAAATTGCCCCCTCCCAGGTAACCACACCAACATTTACCTGTTCCCTCATGAAAAATAAATAAAGCATTTAAAGCAAACAAATAAAAAGGTCCCCCCCCAAGACCCTGATAGATGAAAAAAAAAAAAAACCCTGTCAGGAAACAGCTTTCTGCCTGAACAATCTACATTTTTTTTGTTCTAAGTATGAATATGAGCAAAAGGTCCACGAATGTTCCGGAAGCATCTCTTCTGCTGCCACCCATACCTACTAGCGCTTTGGTGCTTTTGCAGAATTTCTTTGACAGACCGAAAGCCACAGGTCCTCTAAGGAAATGCAACGAAGCACAGAAGGAAAGGGTCACCCTGCATGATTTCCAGTCCCCGATTAACATTTCTGTTACAAGCAAGCCTGTTTCAGGACTAGGGCGCATCTTGCCACCGGTCCCTGGGAATTATTATTTATGCCAGACACTCAAGGGCCTCTGGGCCTCTCTGCAGATGCAGCAAACCTCTGATGGCAGACTGAGGCTGCTGCTGTTTATTCCTCTGGACACCACCTGCCCTTAAAAATAGAAGAGCTGCAGCTGCTGGTTTTGCTCCCTGCAAGCAATTGTTCGAAACAAAGATAACACATCACCAAAATGAGAAAATGTTTAGTTTCAGCCAAGTTTTCCCAAGAATAGAATAACGGCCTTTTTTTTTGTTTTCTGGTGGAAACTAATACTTGAACTGAGAAGATTTTTCAGAAGTAATGCAAGACTCTTAACTCAGGTTGAGGTTCCCCCCAAATCCATTACCTCCCACAATTCCATTTGTCATTCTCCTGAACTCTTAGATTGGCCTTATGCAGTGTTTCCCAAACTTGACAATTTTAAGGCATGTGGAATTCTGGGAGTTGAAGTCCTCATGCCTTAAAATTGTCAAGTTTGGGAAACACTGGCCTTATGTACTCTTAACTTTTCCCACCTGGTGTACTAGAGTATGTAGATTTCTATAAGCTAAAGAATTTTCAAGCAGGCTTCATCTAAAAAACAAAAAGGCCAGAAAAGCATTTCTCTATTTAGCATTCAAGTTCAGTTGCAACCCTGATCATTTGTGAATCTTGACCTTTCAGCTATCTATTCATGAGGTCTGGGAAAGGCCCTAAGGTAGGGGTCTCCAACCTTGGCAACTTTAAGACTTGTGGACTTTTAACTCCCAGAATTCCTCAGCCAGCATGGCTGGCAGGAGAATTCTGAGAGTTGAAGTCCACAAGTCTTAAGGTTACCAAGGTTGGAGACTCCTGTCCTGAGGGAAGGAGGCACTGAGAAAAGACAGCTCTAGTAGAACTGGCTTAAAAACACCAACCCTCTGGACCAGGGGTCTTCAAACTTGGCCCTTCTATGACTTGTGGTCTTCAACTCCCAGAATTCTTCAGCCAGCGTGCCTGGCTGAGGAATTCTGGGAGTTGAAGTCCATAAGTCATAAAAGGACCAAGTTTGAAGACCCCTGCGCTGGACCTTTCAAAAGCATGGAAGGTTTACATCTGAAGGGCACCCTCAGATATGCAGACTTCAGCTCCCAGAACTCCCAACAACAGCCACAGTGGCTGGGGAATTCTGGGAGCTGAAGCTGACACAACTGGAGGACACCCACAACTTATACAATCTTAACCGGAATCAACAAGGCTGTAGCTGGGTGAGGTGATTAAGTAATTAAGATAGGTACTGTTATTCCTCAAACTTCCCATAACCAAGGTGACAAGCCAGCTCCACTTGAATCCAAGAGCAGTAATAAAGAAAACATATTTAGAGCCAAGCTGGCAAGTTGTCACTATGCTCTGTTGGATCAGACCAAGGTCCATTATGCTACCTCTTGCAACAGCTAGTAACTACGAGCCTGGAAGGTCAAAAACTGTGCGGAGTAGAATATCAAACACCTGATTGTCCTCAAAGTCTGGTTAATAAGGTAGACTGTCTCTAACCATGGGGTTTTTATTTTAAAACATTTTCATCTATGGGAATAATCACAATCACCCTCTACAAACCTGCCCAATGAATTCAGCAGTTATAAAGGCGGATATATAAATCTTTCCAAGATTGTCACCAAGGTCCTATTGCTCTTTTAGACCTGTCTTAAAAACACTAATGTTTTTAAAAGCACAACACACATGCTGAAAGGATGGATGCAGCTTCCCAATGACCCCCTGCCTCCCAGGGAATGGAGGAACAAGCAGAAGGAGCAATCCTTCAGTTGCACAGAGCCAGGACAACAAAGTGCTAATCAGGGTGTGCTCCTTCTATGGCTAATAGGTGGCTGCCTTTGGCAGGGTTGCTTTTCCATCTCCCCAATCAGATAATCTTGAGCTGCTTCAACCAAGCCAGTTTTGTTTCCTTGACTCCCTTCTGGCTTCGTCCTGCTTCCTTCTCAGGGAAGTACAATTCTGCTGACAGAGAGGCAAACAGGGGACTCCTGCCTGCACTCACTCTTGTGAGCCCCACTCGGCAGAGCTCTGTTCAGCCTGCCACCCAGCAGTTTCTTCTCTTTTAAGCAAGCCAATTAATTCCTGTCTCATTCACCTCAGGCTACAATTACAGGTGAGCGTCTGTTCTTCCAATTCAAAAGCTCTGCAGCTTGGGGTTTATATCCACAGTGGTTAAGGGTCTAATCAAGTTCATTCAGGTCCCTCCTCCTCTTCCTCCATTTACTACTGTTATCCGGACCACACAGTTTCATTTTAACTGTAGCACTGCAGAATTTAAAGCAGATAATAGCTTAAAATAGCAGCCAGCAATTTTGACAGTCCCGGGTTTCTGGATGTGAATCCCTCCCACGTTTGGCAAGATGTTTACCAAGAAAAGCTGCGCTGGGCTATGACCTGTATCCATCACTGCATCTTGGCTCATACATCACCATACCGAATGATTAATGAAGCCACAAAGGTGGAGCGCAGGTCACTCGGTTTGGATCTCTGAAAATTCTTCTGAGCCGTACGCTGCGTTAGGGACACCTCAACCATCTCAAACGCTGCCAGGTTTACACTCAATGAACGTTTCCTCATGACTGAAGAGGCAGTAGGAAACCACATGTTACTGGGCAGACTCAGAGTTTATAACTTTTCTATGCACAAAGTAAGTGAGAATCTTCTCTGGTCACCTCACGGTCTCCACACGTGACACAGAGGGAAGGAACTAGGACTAGGAAAGTCCCTTTCACATTTCATTTAATTACCTCCAAACTCAGCAATTTAACTGTAAAAAGCTATGTAAGGTCATGCAATATTTTGAGACGCTCTCCTAAAATCTTTTTTTTAAAAAAATCTCAACTGTACACTGCTTAGAGAGTGCTTGCACTTAAAGCGGTATATAAGTCTCATAAATAAATAAATAAACTGGCTGCTTCGCGACAGCTTGCTTGCTAGAGCAACTATTTAACTTCCTATCTAAATTGTTGAAATTACTTAGCAGCCACAAGCCGTATATTATTTCTGATTAGAGGTGGGGCCACCCTAAACCAGTCTGGGAAGAATCAGAGTTCACTATGATACACATTTATAACCAGTGGAACTTTTAATGTTTGAAGTGTAGCATTAAAAATAGTTTTATAATTATTTAAATGAATGCATCCCAATCTAAGTAACTTTATAATGTGTGGGCTTCAACAGTCACTATAGCCCAGTGGTGGCGAACCTATAGCATGCGTGCCAGAGGTGGCACTCGGAGCCCTCTCTGTGGGCACGCGCATCATGCCCCGGAGATGGCAACTGCCCGTTAACTTGCTGAGGTCCCACGTGGCCGGATGCATCCCAGCACCCATGTGCTTGCTGGTCTTTGTGTGCGGGGGCCGATGGTGTCAGGCAGCAGCCGCCCCGGCCCCTGCCTCGTCTTAACCTTTGACATAGCACCCCCGCCCTGCCTCGTCTCACCCTGCAGAACCAGCCTCCTGCCCATCGCCCCACCCGCCAGTGACCCCTGGATCTCCCCCAATCATGCCCGGCTCCCACAGGCGTCCCTCCCCAGGAGCAACATTGAGCTGGCCACACCCACCCATCTGCCATGACCACTGTAGCCACGCCCACCCGGCAATACATAAGTGGGTTTTGGGTTGAAGTTTGGGCACTCGGTCTCTAAAAGGTTCGCCATCACTGCTATAGCCATTGCTGAGAGGTTTGGGAGTGAAGTCCATGCGTCTCAAGATGGTCAGAATAGAAACACTGGTTTAAATTGTTTATTAATGCATATTAATAGTACGGATAGATTTGTCTAGTGTTGCTCTCTTTTATTACATTTTAACAATTTTAATTTGTGTAGGGGAAGTCACATGAATTTTAAAAGAAAAATATATATGGGCTTTCAGACATCCAGTGGATATTTTAACAATCAAGCACAATCCTTCAACTTACCCCTTGACTTCCTTGAAACTGGATCGATGGCTTCAAACCCACAGAATCCTATACAAAAGGGGGAAAAATACAGATGAGTCACAAGACTTACTAAGCATTAACGGTGATGCTATTCTCTTTGAGCTAAAGCAGACTGATTTGATAGCTATAAAAAAAGGCCAGGAGCATCCTATCCATTTTAGGAGCTTTAAAAGTGTCTATTTTTAATTTTTTTAACTGACTTCTGTTTGTCATTGTTAAAGGTTCACGTATCAGCCACAAAGATCTAATGGAACTTCCATGTACAAAGAGATTTATTCTAAAATATCAACTGCCAAAATCAAACAACAGGGAAAGGACGGGTTTTCTTCACAATGTTTTCCAATGATACCTGATTGGCTGGCTAGGGAATTCTGGGAATTGAAATCCACACATCTTCATGCTGCCAAGGATGAGAAACAATGATCTAAAATGGAGACTGCCCTGATTCACTAGACTTACATTTCTATTAGAGAAGCTGCCCACTGCACTATAAACCTACTCCCCATGGCCACCAAAAATCATTCTAAGCCATCCCCATATACGGGCAGTTCCGGAGTTACGAGTGTCAAAAACTCACAGTGACTCTCATACCTCAAACGAGATAGCTCCCTTGCTCATTAAGACACACGTGGCTCGTTAAGTGAACATGAGGTATCTCAGGGTGGGGAAGTCCATGGAGGGCCTAGGGATGGAACAGGCCCCCAAGGCCTTTCTGATCCACTAAGATACCTCATGCTTCCCCCTCCCTTCCTGCCATGCCAGACTCACCTTGAAAAGATCCGCCTCCTCTCTGCCGCAGTTCCTGCTTCTGCCCGGATCTGAGGCCAGGGGACCCTTCTGTGGCCCTCTGGCGGCCCGATCCGGGTGCTGGATGCCTTCTCCAGGCCGCTGCTGCCCAAAAACAGGCCGCCTGAGGGCCGCGGAAGCGTCCCCCAGCCTCAGATCCAGGCAGCAGCAGTCTGGAGAAGGCGTCTGGTGCCCAGATTGGGCTGCTGGAGGGCCACGGAAATGTCCCCTGGCTTCAGTTCCATTCTCTGTTGCAGAGAACAGAGGCCTAAAGTACCGAGAGATCACGCGAGATCAGTAGCATGAGATCTCACCCCATGGTTCTCGCGTGATCTTGCATGGTTTTAGGCCTCCATTCTCTGCGAATGCACCAAAGACATGGAGCAGCCAAGAAAGCGAAGGAGCTCAATCTGCACAGGGGGAGTATTGAAGGCCTGGTGCCTAGGAAGATCCAGGATGGGGGTGGGGAGGGAGGGAATGACCAAGGTGAATGTTGCAGTGCCACTGCGGTCGCTCCTAAGGGCGAACAACTGCCGTAGTGCTACCATATTCGTAATTTCAGGACTTGCTTGTAAGCACTAGGGGGCGCATATTTCATAACTCTGAACTACCGTTAAGTGAACACTCATGACTTGGAAATTACCTGTAATGATTAACGCTTAGCTTGGCTCCTTAAGACCTAATGGGGAAAGGATACTCTACATATCCACCTTCGCAAAAATCAGAAAGACCGAGTCTCAGAGACTGACTTTCTTAGTACTACCCCTCCCTCTGCACCAGCCTGCCTCCTGAGAGGAGATGTCCTCCCCCCCTACTGATGTTTCCAGAGCTGACAAAGCAAACCTCTTTAAGACAGCATATGAGCTCATTCAACAAGTTACAGGTTTATTTAGTTTTTAGCAGTTTTATTATTAGTTTATGAATAGATTTTATCATTTTATTTATCTCGTATGTTGAAGGTTATCTCTAATCAGAAGAGTACACATGTATACATTTTGGTAACTAAAAACTATACATATGTTCTTATTAAATAGAAGCAAGCCAAAATGATGCTTAATTTTCAGCACACATCCCAACACAGTCTTTGTTTCTCCTTCAAGCTTGTCTGTAGTAGCTCAACTTGGTTAAAGTGGATATCTGTAATTATTGTCAGTGCCGAGTCACAATAATATTAGGAAAGTTGCAAGGAGAGACTTGCAAAGTTGTAGCCTTGAATGATCTCTGATACCCTACTCAGCCTTCAAGGATGAGGTGTTTTTTTCTTCCTATTCCCAGCTCCTCCATATCATCTGCATAAGTAGCAGTTCTGGGATATGAGGCTGAAAGATCAGAAAAAAGTTATGTAAAAAAAAAATTCTTGACTAGCAACTTTGGCAAAAACACAGGTAGTCCTCGATTTATGACCATTCATTTAGTGACTGTTCAAAGTTACAATGGCACTTAAAAGTGACTGATGACTGTTTTTCACACTTACGACCACTGCAACATCCCAATAGTCATGCGATTAAAATTCGGATGCTGGGCAACTGGTTCATATTTATGACGGTTGCTGTGTCCCGGGGTCATGTGATCACTTTTTGCGACTTTCTCACAAGCAAAATCAAGGGGGAAGCCAGACTGACTTAACAACCATGTTACTAACTTAACAACTGCAGTGATTCACTTAACAACTGTGGCACGAAAGGTTGCAAAATGGGGCAAAGCTCACTTAACAACTGTCTCGCTTAGCCACAGAAACGCTGGGGCTCCACTGTGGCCGTAAGTCAAGGACTACCTGCATTTTTAAAAGTAAGAGCAGAAAGGACTATCAATTCGCTATGTAGCACCGTTTACAGCAGGCGCGCTACCTGCCAGCAGCTCAGCAAGCCTCAAGAGAGCCGAGAGTCTCTTGCTTCATTAGGAGCTCCTCAGGTTATGTGGGCTCATGGGTCCCCCTTGAGATGCTGCTGTAGCACAGCAAAAGAAAAGGGCTGGCAAGCTTGCTAGGAATGGCGGCTGAAGTCATCAAGTGTTCTGTCACTGCAAGATAATAGCGACTATTTCCATAACGGCAGACAAGAATCCATCAGTACAGAGGTTTTTTTTCTCTCCCAGAAAAAGAAACCACAGAACCATGTTCATATTTCATGGCACAATAAAGGCTAGTTACCTCTTCTAAATTTATATCTAGAAGCTAATTGAAATATATCCATCGACCAATGTCCAGCCAGCCCTGTTCCACTTGCTGATGTCTCCCAGGAAAACACCTGATCCAGCCCAGGTCTGGAGCACACAAGGCCCTCACCATACCACAAGGAATCTGAGATAGAAATAACACTGCACCTCTCCACACTGTATGCTAGTAATCGTATATAAATGCTCAGGCAAGGCTGTTGCCTAGTAACTTTCAGATCAGGGACATATTCCTCCAGTGCACTTTATATGAGGCCCTCTTTGAAGACAACTTGTAGCTTCAACTGTCCAAAGGGCAGCAGTCCATCTGCTAACTGGGGAAGCAGATTTAGATATGGACTGCTGATGCTATACAGTAATCACACCGACTGTTTTCCAATTTGCTTCCTGGATCAATTCAAAACGCAGGTCAATACCTCTGAAGATAACATGGCCCAGCTCTGTGATTACTTACAGGACTATCTCTCTTGACAAGAAGCAGTCTGTCTTGGGCCTTCTTCTAAGAAGGATCTGCTAAGGATCTCCACCCAGTGCGAAATGAAGGGAGTGGGGGCTCAGTAAGCTGTACCCACACTGGCTGCCCCCCCGTACTTTACTTTCCACAGTACAAAATGTACTGAAGCTCCTGACTTTGGGGAAAGTGTTTAAGATTTGGCTATTTCACTGAGTGTTGGCCCTAATTAGCTTCTTTCGTAGTTACTGATAGAAGAGAATATTTGCAGTTCGTTAGCTTGCAATTTTTCCTATTACCTTCCGCAGATTTGCTAAATGTATGTTTGCTTAATTGTAATCTGCTTTGAATCCAGAGAGGTAGGTGAGATATAAAAGGGGGTTGTAAATAAACAGCCAAATTGGACATCCAGGTGTGAGGTCACTGCTATACCCCCATAGAAGTTTGTATATAATTACGTGGATTGTGTACATACGTTTACTTTTCTTCTGGCATGTTCTCATCATACGTTAAATAATAAACAAATATAATTCTCCATCTTTTTCTCCTCTGCAGGCTCTGCCAAGAACACAGCTACAAATGAAGAATGATAAGGCAGAGCAGTAACAGGCAGGAAGGAGAAGCCATTTACAGAGATATTATGGCCTGTGAAGGCAGAGTTTTTCCTCCATACGTTAATAAACCGTTTGGTTCTTTGGGGGAACAAAAAAGAATCAAAATATCCAACAGGCTTCACAGGGCGTGCCAGAGAAAGGACCCAGAGGAGAGAAGGCATGAGGTCGGATGGCAGGACAAGGGCTTACTAATAGGCACCCTGATGCGACAGCAATCACACTGCTGAAGTGATAATTAGCCAGGATGCAGCATTTCCCTCTACATGCAAATAGGAGTAGCTGACAACTTTTCTAGGGTACCTGTACAATCTTAATTTAAGAATGGGAATAGATCAACTGGGCCAATCTAGAGGAACTCACCAAAAGGCATCTGCTTATACATGCAGGAGTGCCAAGCATATATAGACTTTCTCCCACTGAATGCTTCCTTCACGAGCAGTAAATACGCTAGCAGGGCAAGAAAATGGCAGCCTTCTCCATCCCCTTTTCATAACTGGTATAAAGTAGCGTAAAGACATATTACTTTCAAATACGGAGAATCTATTCTTTACACTTTTTAACAAGAGCAATCCTAATAAAACAGAGCAAAGGAAATGTGTTACTAATAGCCAGTGAAATGTCTTTAGTAAGCCACAAAATCAATAGCTGTTTGCTAAGAGCCAATATTCAAAGGTTTGTTTTGATTTTTAAATAGAATCTATCTGTAATCCTTGAATGGAATCTAGGCAATCAGCAGTAGATTGGCAAAAGTTCTAATTCCAACAATCTAACAGCAATAAAAAAAAACTTCTTAGTCCTGGCATCATAAAATATATTCTGAAACAGAACATTTGGGGGACAGACAGGAATGGACTATTTTTTGAGAAAAGACTTTTCAACTTGACTTGGGTACTGATCATCAATTTTGACTGAGCATATATGGTCAGGAATACATGATTCATCCTCAGGGCGTAGCCTCCTATCTTGTACCTGCTAGGAGTTTTGGATCTCAGATACATCAACTC